AGAGCGAAGGAGGAAAGGATGGAGGGAGAGAGAGAAGGGAGGGAGAAAAGAAGAAGGAGAGAGAGAGTGAGTGAAAAGAGAAGGGGGAAGAGACAAAGAAATTAAGCGAAAGATAAAAAAGTAAGAGTGGAGATGAGAAAAAAGTCAAAGAAAAGGAATAGCGGGGAGAGAGGGAGAGGGAGGGTCGGAGAGAAGGAGAGGGAGAAAAGGAAGGAGGTTGAAGGAGGAAAGGAGGAAGGGAGAGAGAGAGAGAGTGAGTGAGAGATGAAGGAGAGAGAGAGAGAGAAGTGGGAAAAGAGAAGAAGAAAGAGACTGAGAAATGATAAAATGCAAAGAAAAAGAATAGTGAATGAGAAACAAACGAATAAGAGAAACACGCAATTACAAACAAAGAAATCTACTTCCCACACTAACAAAATCAACCCCTAAAAAAAAAAAAAAAAAAAAAAAAAAATACAAACCTCAAACACGTCAAACAAACATAAACAAACATCAATCTGACCAACCTTATCTCCTGACACAGAGGGTGACTGTCAACGACGTGGCCGTGACCCAGGCTGACATCCCAGCGAGCAACGGGGTCATCCACGTGGTTGACCAGGTGTTGCTCCCCGCTGAAAACAACGCGGGGAATTTGGCTGAAGTTCTGACTGCTGAAGGATTCAGTCAGCTCGTCGACCTGGTTGTGACTGCCGGCCTGGCGGACACGGTTTCCACGGGAGGTAAGAGCTTAAATATCTATCTATATATATATTTTTTTTCTTTTCTTCTTCTTTTTTCTTTCTTTCTTTTTCTTTCTTTCTTTTTCTTTCTTTTCTTTCTTTTCTTCTTCTTCTTCTTCCTCTTTTCTTGTGTTTTTTTCTTTGTTTTTTCCTTCTTTTCTTTTTCTCTTTTTTCTTTTCTTTTTCTATTTTTCATCTATTCTATTTCTTTCTCTTTCTTTCTTTTTCGTTTTTTCTTCTCTTTTTATGATATTTTAAGATATATGAGTTTAGATATACTTTTTGGGGGGTATTAAGATATTGTGTATATATCTTTTTTTCTTTTCTTTTTTATGACATTTTAAAGTGTATGAGTTTGGATATACTTTTATTTTTTGGTATTAAGATATTGCGGTATGACTTCTGATATGTTAAAGTTTTTCTTATCATGTTGATACGATCTTAGATATATTTTGATTTTTTCTGTTTGTTTTTATATGTCGATACAAGTTTAGATAGATTTTCTTTATGGTCATTAAGAAATTTCGATGCGAGCTTGAATGTAATATATTTTTTATGATTGAGCCTAAGTACATTTTGTTTTTCTTTGATGAAGATAATTCGACAGGAGCTTGAATATATTTTTTATGATACTTCAACAAGAATTTGAATATGTTTTTATAAGATATTTCGACACGAATTGAATATACTTTTTTATAAGATAGTTCGACACGAGCTTAAATAAACGTTTTTTTATATAAGATATTTCGAATAAAAAGATTATTAAGAGACAAGTACCCACCGCCTTTTGCCTTCAAGATGTCCAGTCTAAGACCGGACAAAAAGATTAATTTATGTTTCTCTTATTCTTTTTTTCATCTTTTTCAATTAATTTGTTTCTCTTTTTTTCATCTTTTTATATTAATTTGTTTCTCATTTCATCTTATTTTTAATTAATTTTTTTTTTTTCTTAATTTTGTTCTCTTTTTTTCATTTTTTAAAATTAATTTGTTTCTCCTTTTTTTCCATCTTTATAAATTGATTTGTAATTCTCTTTTCGTCGTATTTTTGATTAATTAGTTTCTCTCTTTTTTCATCTTTTTTCCTTCCCACTCCAGGTCCCTTCACCGTCTTCGCCCCGACCAACGAGGCCTTCCAAGCCCTCGACCCTGAGCTCGTGAAGGCCCTGCTCGCCGACCCCGAGAGGCTGAAGGACGTCCTGCTGTACCACGTGGTCCCCGGCGCCGTCCTCTCGTCCGACCTGAGCGACGGCCTCGTGGCTACCACGGCGCAGGGCGGGGACCTTAGGGTCAATGTGAACGGCAATGTGAGTTTTGGGTTCTTATACACACACAAAAAAAAACACACAACTCTAAAAAAAAAACACAAAAAACCTCTGATTATCGAACCCCATTCACTCTCCCCCTTTCATCACTCTATCTCCCTCCCTCTCTCCTTCGCAGGCGGTAACTATCAACGACGTGGACGTAACGAGAGCAGACATCCCGGCCAGCAACGGAGTCATCCACGTCCTGAACCAAGTCCTTCTGCCTCCTGAAAATCTGGGCAACTTGGCTGAGGTCCTTACCGGCGAAGGATTCAGTCAGCTGGTCGATCTCGTCGTGGCTGCTGGGTTGGCTGATACCGTTTCTAATGGAGGTACGTGGGGTTGAGGGTAGGAGTGATGGATGGATGGATGGATAGATTGGTAGAGAGAGGGGCGGGGTTGGGATAGATTGATTGAGAGAGAAAGAAAGAGAGAGAGAGAGTAAGAGGGGGGTAGAGGTAGATAGATTGATTGTGTATATATATGTGTATATTATATATATATATATATATATATATATATATATATATATATATAATATATATATATATATATATATATATATATATATATTATATATATATATATATATATATATATATATATATATATGTGTATATATATATATATATATATGTATATATATATATATATAGAGAGAGAGAGAGAGAGAGAGAGAGAGAGAGAGAGAGAGAGAGAGAGAGAGAGAGAGAGAAATTTATTCATTGAGAGAGAAAAAGAAAAGGAAAACAAAAAAAAGCTCAGAAAGGAAAATTAAGCTCATTGATATAAAATGCATCCATAGTCATAGAGGCATTTTTCGTCGGAAGTTTTATTTCGTTTCTTTGTGTGTGCTATTTTTGTATTTGTAGTGTAAATAGTTTATATACGTGTACTCGTTTATTACAGTTGTGTGTTTGTTTTTTGTGGTGCTACGTTTTCATCTCATTATATATATACATGCGTGTGTATTTGTATGTATTTATTTATATATGTATATATGTACGTCAACAGGATCTCTAAACCCTGTTTCCTCCCCAGGTCCCTTCACCATCTTCGCCCCGACAAACGAAGCTTTCCAAGCCTTAGACGCTGACCTGGTGACCTCCCTGGTGTCTGACCCCGAGAGGCTGAAGAAGGTCCTGCTGTACCACGTCGTCTCCGGCAGCGTCCTCTCCTCCGACCTCAGTGGCAGTGCCATGGTTCCGTCTGTCCAAGGGGCGCCTCTTAAGGTCAGCCTTGAGGAGAACAGCGACAAGACGGTAAGTTAAGGTCTTCGGTGTCTTTCTCTTTCTTGTTCTGTATTTCTTTTTCTTTCTTTCTCTCTCTTTCGTGTTTGTCGTTCTCTCTCTGTCGCTTTTTCTCTCTATCTATCTATCTCTGCTTCTCTCTCTCTCTCTCTCTCTCTCTCTCTCTCTCTCTCTCTCTCTCTCTCTCTCTCTCTCTCTCTCTCTCTCTCTCTCTCCTCTCTCTCTCTCTCTCACGAAACATATATTTTTTTACCCATTATTTCCTCTTCCCTCCTCCATCTCCTTCTCTCCCTACAGACGGTGACCGTGAACGGAGCCCCTGTGACGCGAGCCGACGTCCCCGCGAGCAACGGCGTCGTTCACGTGATCGACCAGGTCCTTCTCCCGCCCGAGGAGATGGGGAACCTTGCCGAGGTCCTCTCTGCTCAAGGCTTCACCCAGCTCGTTGACCTGGTCGTCGCTGCGGGATTGGCTGATACGGTTTCCAATGGAGGTCAGTTGGAGGGTGGTTTTTTGTCTGGGGATGGGTGGTAATGTGTTTTTTCGAGGTCAAATAGAGGTCAAAGTGTTTTCTATGGAAGTCAGTGACAGGGTTTTCTTTGAAGGTCAGCGAGAGGTCAACGTGTTTTCTATGGAGGTCAGAGGGTTTTTCTATAGAGATCAGTGTGTTTTCTATGGAGGTCAGAGGGTTTTTCTATGGAGGTCAAAGTGTTTTCTTTAGAGGTCAGGTCAGTTAGAGTTAGGTCAATTTCGGGATAATGTAGATAACGACTCATGCTATAGAACCGTCACGTAATTAAAATAAACAGTAATTCCGGGAAAACAATCTACTTCTCATCCACATTTTTTCAATACCAAAAACCACACCACTCTGCCCTTACTTCCACAGAACCGCAATTAGTACACCCACAAAAGCCAGTAGTAACAAAAACCTACACACACTTTCCACAGAACAACAAGAAAAAACAAATCCACACCACAACCTACACACATTTAAAAAAAAACAATAATAATAACCAGGAAAACTTCTCACTCACTCACTCATTCTCTCTCTCTTTTTCTCTCGCAGGACCCTTCACCATCTTCGCCCCCACCAACAAGGCCTTCCAAGCCGTCGACAAAGCCACCCTGGACACCCTCTTAGCCAACCCAGACATGCTGAAGAGTGTCTTGCTCTACCACGTCGTCCCCAGCGCCGTGTACTCCCCTCAGCTGAGTGATGATCAGTTGGTCAACACCGTCGAGGGGAAACCTCTGAGGGTCAACACTTACTTCAGTAATAATATGGATGTAAGTATGTCTCTCGGTCTTTTTTAAGAGGTGGTGTGTGAAGAGGGACTGTAGGCACTTACGAGGGTGTTGTTGGTATGTTGTGGGTGTTATTGGTATAGCTCTTGAAGTGTTTAGGATGTTAGTGTGACTCTTGGAAGGTTGGAAATATTAGTGTTGTAATTCTTGAAGGTTAATTAAGAATACTATTGTAACTCTTGAAAGGTTTAAAATATGTCTATTATAACTATTGAAGATTAAAAGTATCTCTCTTAATAACCCTTGAGAGGCTAAAAATAGTTATATTATAACTCTTGAAAGGCTAAAAGTATCTTTTATAACTCTTGAAATGTAAAAAAAAATCACGGGCCTAATTCTCTAGTCAAAAATGTTTAGAAGCAAAATATTCAAGCTAGTCAAAAACGTTTAGAAAGAAAACAAAGTATTCACGTTAGTCAAAATCTACCTTATATATTCACCCACCGATAAATATGACATTAATGAAAATAATTCTCTCGCTTGTCCCGCAGTCTGTCACCGTGAACGGCGTGAACGTCTCAAGAACAGACATCGTAGCCAAGAACGGGGTGATTCACGTGGTAGACAATGTTATCATGGCTCCAGCAGGCAATATCGTCGAAGTTCTGGCCGCCGATCCCAGATTTTCGACTCTAGTGGCTGCCGTCAAAGCTGCTGGCTTGGTGGACACGCTGAGCTCAGGTTGGTTAATGTGTTGTGGTTGTGGATTGTTAAAGATAATTATTCTCAAATTATCCACAAAGAGAGTTATTCCCAAAATACCCACAAAGAAAATTATTCTCAAACTATCCACAAAATTATTCACAAAATACCCACAAAGATGATTCTCAGATTATCCACAAAGAAATTTATTCACAAAATACCCACAAAACTAATTATTTTCAAATTATCCCCAAAGTTATTCACAGAATGGCCACATGGATGATTTTTCTCAAATTATCCACAAAGTTATTCACAATATACTCACATACAAAATTATTCTCAAATAATCCACAAAGAAAGTTATTCACAAAATACCCACAGATCTAAACATTATCAAATTGTCCACAAGATCCATTTCAAACTGACGAAGACACATAACCCATTAAAACGCAAAATCCAGCCACATCCATTCATACCAGGTTATCCACACACCTATGCATTCCCTATCCGCAGAGGCTTTGACCTTTTCTTGTTGTTTTTTCTACCCTTTTTGTTTTTTTGTTTTGTTTTATGTCTACAGATCTTTATCTTTATTTCTATAAAGCCGTAATTAATCCATCAATTCAGATATTAATTTAGGGATAATATAGATAACGACTCGTGCTATAAAAGATATCCATTAATTCAGATATCAATTTCTGGATAACAGAGATAACCACTCATAAAAACCAAGCTATTCTCACCCTTATGCTTCCCCCACCCGCAGAAGGCCCCTTCACAGTCCTCGCTCCCACTAACGACGCCTTTGCCAAGCTTCCCGAAGGCACAGTCGACCAGCTCCTGCAGGATACGGCCTCCCTGAAGAAGATTCTCCTGCGTCACGTGATTCCTTCCTCGACGCTGTACTCAGGGGCTCTCTGCTGGAGGACCTATAACACGGCCAGCGAAGAACAGGTGGGTTGTGTTGTGTTTCGAGTATGGTGTTGGCATTTTTCTTTCTTTCTTTCTTTCTTTCTTTCTGTCTGCTTCTTTCTTCTTTCTTTTTCTGTCTTTCTTCTTTCTTTCTTCTTTCTTTCTTTCTTTTTTCTTTCTTTCTTTCTTTCTTTCTTCTTTCTTTTTTCTTTCTTTCTTTATTTTCTCTCTCTCATCATCAAAACAGACGTCATGACACCTCCTCGAGTTGCTACTGATCTAGCCTTCCCCATACTCATATGATAAGTATATATTAAAGATGGAACTTTAATCAGACAACCATTTCTTAAACGTATTTTCGTGGTCTGAGAATATCCATATACGCCTAAACCTTCATTAAAGATTACTAACTCAGAAAAAAAAAAAATACCATCAATAATTCAAAATCAATAGTCTTGGCTTCGTAACGTTATTATCGTGTAGGCCTATGACTATATCATATTATATAGACCATACATAATCCATGGATTTTTATATCTAATTATCCTGTTTCTTATGGGAGAATTTGATGCGTTAGTAGATACCGATCTCAAAAAAGACTTTGGCGGAGTGAAGACGCAGATACAATCGTTTATATTCTAATTATTATATTTTAAAAATATTCACATGCTCGTAACATATTTTCATCATGTTAATAGAATATTTATCAAGTACGTGTAACAGATATATATTTACATACACATGGATATGAATACAGAAATAACAAATATATATAAAAAAGAAAAGAAAATCCATTTAACATATCAAAAATTACCCTTTCGTTACATACTTTCACATACTAATATTCATATGCCCGGGTTTGTTAAAATTCTGCCAGGCATGACCCAATTAATATGCAAATATACGGACACACATATACACAGAACTATTTGCATATGTGTTTGCCTATCTGATAGATATACATTTATCTATCAGTCTGCCAGGTAGATATGTGTAGACTGCGCTGTACATTAAAACTACTAAAGGTCTATTTTCCTCATTATTCCCCCAGATTACCACCCATCGTGACGTACTCCACCATGTCATGGTTACCAGCGGCGACAAGCGAGCCACTGTCGTCATGCCTGACATCAATGCCTCCAACGGTGTCATCCACGCCATTGACACTGTCATATAAGCATACCGAAGATTCTCAGCTATAATGTTGTTCCAGTTAGAGAGGGCATTTATTATGTGTTATATTTATACTGCATGTGATACTCTGTGACGTCTTTGTATGTCCCTTGAAAATATAACATGTTTATATTGTATGTGATAATATCTTGTGGCATTTGTGTTGAATTAAAGCTTAAAAAATGAA